AAATTAATTTAAAATTAAAAAAACAAACAATTTTGTTTCGGTGTTCAATTTCAAAACCCCTTGATTTTTAAAAAAAAAAAAAAAAAAAAATTCAAACTGAGTAAACATCAATTGAAACGATGAATGAAAAAAAAAATTAAAACATCGGCAAATAGGATCAACAACAAGAACAAATGATCATATAACCAATTTGAATCTATTTTTCAAGTCACGTAATTTTGTTCAACAACATCGAATTGTGTCCTTTTTTTTGTGAGAGCAAAGTTTTCGGAATGAATGAATGAATGGAAAGAAATTTTTCGGCATAAACTTTTTTTCCGGGAATTTTTCCATTTCTTCTTCTTTCATTCTTTAGAATCTTTTTTTTTTGAAAAAAAGGAAAGAAAGAGTTTTTTTTATGGATGTTAAATGATCTTGAATTGTTTATTATTATGAACAAATTATATCATAATATTTATGAATATTTTCAACGGAAGAAGAACAACAACAAAATAGAAATTAACAATGAACTTTGAATATATATTTAAAAAAAAATCCATAAATAAATTCCATATGACCTCTCTCTCTATATATATTCTTTATTAAGTTAAACAAGAGATTGTCAAAGTTCAAAATAGAAATTAAATTAAAATAATAAACATTACAGTCAATTTAGTTTGGTGGAACGAACAAAAACAAAACAAATATCTCTATGTGACAACCTGTATTTTTTCTTTTTGTTTGTTTGCTTGTTTTTTTTTTGTGTTACTAACAATCAATTAAATTTTATTATGATTTTTATTAGCCAGTTAAATAAATAGGAGAAAAAAAGTAGTGAATAGTGAAATTTACTGCCATGGTAGTTAGCCAAAAAAAATAAAACTCTTGAATTTGAAAAAAAAGAACTCTTGGAACAGAAAATCTTGTTTGTTTGTTTTTTGTTTTTCTTTTTTTTTTGATATTCACAAATGATGCAGACACATTTGGACAACCAAAAGGATAATTTTCTTTTTTTTTCTGTTTTGTGTCTCGTCTTAACGATTATTACCCGTATAATAATCGTTATATATTCACTTATTACTGATTCATTTTATTAACTTATAGACTTTTGATTTGAATGGATTTTTATTCTGTAATACAAGAAACCAAAAAAATAAAAATCATCAATTCTAATGAAATAATAATGATATTTTATCGATTAACCTGGTTGAATAAACTATAATTGTAAAAAAAAATAATTTGAATAAATAATTATCTGAATGATTACAAAAGATTTTTCTTTCTTTTCTTTTTTATAGCTTATTGATCATCATCATTGATACATTAGAATGATTCAAATGTTTCATTTGAAATTCTGCTGCTATTATAATAAAATAATGATGATAATGATGTTCCATCAATGAATTCTATCATTTTATTTTTTCTTCAAAAAAAACAAGTTAATTGCAATAAAATTGTTTAAAAATTTATGTAATTTTCCTATTCTATTCATTCATAGGTATCTCCCAAAAAAATAAAAATAAAAAATAATATTATTATTGATAAATATTATGATGGTTTTATAATAGGTAACAAACAAAAAAAAAATTTCCGGTAATTTTATTGATGTTTTGTAGTAGTTGAAAAAATACAAACAAACAAACAAACAAACAAAACCATTGTGTATTGTGGGTTTCTTTTTCTTCTTCTCTCTTTTTTTTTTAATATTTAAATAAATTCCTAGAATTTCATTTGTTCCCACTATACTAGAAAAATAATCGCCCCTAAACTAGCCAATGATGATCACAACAACAATTCGGTTACAATGTAATAGGTTTCCATTTCTAAACATTGAATTGAATTGAATTGAAAAAAAATGTATAATTTACCATTATGTGGTTGATATATATTAATCGTATTGGTATAGCGATTATTGCAATTGGACTGTCTATGTCTGTATGATTATATTATATAATATAATGGCTAATAATAATCATCATAATCGTAATAATAATAATAATAAAAAAACCTACGCATCAAAAGAAACATTCAATAGAGGTAGTTCAATGATGATGATGATGATTATGATGTTTTTTGGTTCAGCCATTAGTTTATAGAAATCAATGAAGAAGAAGAAAAAATTCTGCTAATCAATTTTCTATTGACAAATTTTCTTTTTCTTTTTCTTTTTCTCTATTCAATTCTATGGTTTCCTACGGTTTGACTATAGGAAAACAAAATCCTTTCAATATTTTTTTTTTCATTTTTTTTCATTATTAAACCCGGAAACACGATTTGATTTTCTTCGTTGTTTTTTTGTTTTGTTTCTGAATTTCATCAAATTCAATTCTTGGTTATGAACAGAAAATGATTTTTTTTTCTCTTTCATTTTTTTTTTTTTTGTTATCCGACGATAATCTTAAATGTAAACAAAAAAAAAAAAGATTCTGTTTGGTTCATAAAGTGTTGTTGCTGTTTCATCATAACAATATTTACAATGAAGAGAGAAAAAAAAAATTCAAATAAAGTTTAAATATTTGTCAATAGCATCATCATCATTGAATTATTAACATTTTTTTCTGTTTTTTTTCTTTCTTTCTTTCTACCCTCTTATAATAATCAATTATTCTTCGTATGAAGGATGCAACAACAACAACAACAGCAACAACAACAACACAAAATCTGTATGTTGTTTGTTCATAAGCTTGAATGAAAATTTCTGAAAAATTTCTCTCTCCCTCTCTCTTCGCTCTCTCTCTTGTTATAGTGAATTTTATTTTTGTTGTTGAAGTTGGAAGCAAAACCAAAATCAAACAACTATTCGCTTAACTATCATTGAATAGAAAACATTATCATGTTACTATGATACTTTATTATTATTATTATCATATAGTTGAAATTGTTAAATAATCAGATTGATTCTTATGAATATTATTATTATTCCTTTCATTAGAATTTTGTTGTTGTTGTTGTTGATGATGATAACTATAGTTTTATTATAATCCATTAACATTTTACATTCACATGTATAAAGATTATTTTATAAATTTTTTTTTCTAATTCAATCAATAATGTTCATCATCATCATCGTGCATTATGTCCAAAGATGAAATGAGAGAAAAAAAATTGAAAAGAAATGTAATTTTGAAGGAAAAAAAATTCCCATGAAATATTAGTTTGTTTGCTTTTTTTTCATCAGAATTTTTTCATTACAAACAAACAAACAAAAAAAAAGATACAATGGAAAAAAAGTTTTGATTCATTTCATTGATGATTGAAATTGAGTTTATTTGATGACCATACATTATCAGATCAACAAGTTTCCCAACAAGCATACAATCATTGATGAATTTAACAACAAATCGATTGTGAAAAAAAACAAGGAAAACAAAAACAAAATTCTAATCTCATCACAACTTTAATGTTTTTTCTGCAAAAAAAAAATTCTGCCAAAAGTTTAATTTACAAAAAAGTTTTGTTTTTTGTTTTTTTGTTGTTGTTCCATTTTTTATTTCATAAAAAACAAAAAAAAACTTCTGCTTGTTCAAATTCATATTTATTGATGAAAGAATCAATACCAAATCAAAATTCAAACAAGTTTTCGAAAAGAAATCAAAAAAAAAAAATGATTTTTTCTGAATAAAAAAAAATCTTAAATTTATGCATTTTTTTGATTGTTGTTGTTTGGTGAATCCAGAAAAAAAATGAATAAAACTTGTAATTTCGAAGGAAAAAAATATTATAACAACAACAACGATGATGATATTAGCATGATGACGAACTCTGAGGAAGAAAAAAAACCGGAAAAAGGAAATTTTTTTTATTCTCAAAAATTTTCCAAACAAAATTATGATAAAAATAACATTCTTCTTCTTCATTCGTTATGTATGAAAATTGGTAAAGAAAAAGCAACCTCAATCTCAAATGAATCTCAATTTCAATCCAAAATCAAATTGAAAAAAACGGAAATACAAAATGAAAAAAAAAATAATAATAATATGAAAAAAGAAGAGAAAATTAAATCACAAAAATAAACATAAAATTGGTGTGAGATTCACATCCATCCATCCATCCATCCAAAATCTTCAACATTGATAATGATTATATAATAATGAATAAATGAAAGAAATTTTCATTGAAAATTGTTCATCATATAAGAGAGAGAGAGAATTTTTCCAGAATCTAATAAAGAATACACATAGTGTGAACGGGCTTTTTTTCATTTTCTGATTACAATTATATCATTATCATTATTATTATCCATTTGATATAATTAAAGATTTTTTGTTTATATATCCTTATATTCTTTCTTGTGTGTGTGTGTTTGTTTGTTTGTTTGTCTAATGAAATCATTTAATATGATGAAATGGATAGGTTAGTTTAGCCTAACATCCTCTTAATCATCCTCATATAAGAAACAACTTTCTTTGCTTTTCTCTCTCTTTTTCTTCACACATTTTTTTTTCTCCGCTCTATGTAAATATTAAATGAAGAAAAATGATGATAAAGAGGAAAGAGAAAAATAGCGCCCAGTGCAAAATAAAAAAGAAAATGAAAATACTTGGAATAACTAGCAAAAAAAAAAAAAAAAAAAAAAATTAAGATTGTTTGGGTTTTTTTTTACCATTTTTTTTCATTACTAAAAGTTTCATTATAAAGTTTAGTGTTTCCAATTCACAATTGGATTCTCATTTCACATCATCATCATCATTATCATTTTTCGTTTGTTTGAAANTTTAAAATAATGGGGGGGAAAAAAAAAAAAAAAATTTGAAAAAAAAAAAAAAAAAAAAAAAAAAAAAAAAGAATTAAGATTGTTTGAGTTTTTTTTTACCATTTTCTTTCTTTGCTAAAAGTTTCATTATAAAGTTTAGTGTTTCCAATTCACAATTGGATTCTCATTTCACATCATCATCATCATTATCATTTTTCGTTTGTTTGAAAAATCTATTTATAATAATAATAATATACATCTCTGTGGTGGTAAACAATAATAAATCCTTATGGTTATATAACCTTTAGGGCATATAATCGATGATGATTGAGAAAAAAAAAGTGCCAATGAAAATTTGATAATAAGTATGATAATATCAAATAAAGAAGAAGAAGAAGATGAATGAAAGAAAATGATTCTCAAATCAGAATCGAAAAGACAGAAACGAAACGAAATGCAAAAAAAAAATCTCTATTATTGAATAATAAGCTTTTGTAGACTTCACAATTTCACTATTAGTTTGATAATGTATAATGAAATTGTTACAGAAACATAAATTTCTTTTCACTTTTCCCCCTTTTTGATCGAATCAATGAGAAAAAAAGAAGAAAAAGAAAATCTTATATTCGATAATGACATTATTATTATCTAATTTTCTTATAAAATTCAATAAACATGAAATTTTGTTTTGTTTTGTTTTGAATTTTTTGTTTTTCTCTTCTGTGTTTCATTCATTCATTCATTTCATTTATCATAATAAACAAACAAAACCACCCACCTTCTTTTATTAACAAACGTCGTTCTTCATCAGTTATTTCCGTATCGATTGTTCTTGAACCACGATTATTATTGTTGTTGTTGTTGTTTCCATTACAATTTGATTGCTGTTGCTGCTGTAGATGTGATCGTTGTTGTGAATGTGAATTTAATGAATTTCCGGACATTGTTGATTTAAGCAATGATGTACCACCACCACCACCAGCAGCATTATTATTATTATGTTTTAAAATGGAATTTTCTATAATTTGAAATAAAAAAAAAAACGTAAAGAATTTCTTTCTATTTTTTTTCTGGGAAATTTTCTCTTCTTACCATTCATATGATGACTAGATGATAAAGAATTATTAATCTGTTGATTCTGTTGTTGTTGTTGTTGTTGATTTGTATTTGATGAACGTTTGGATTTTTTTGTAGTTGGCCATACAATTGTTGATTCTTGTTGTTGTTGTTGTAATGATGTGGATTTTTGATTTTCATCAAAAAAATCAATACCAGTTGGTGTTGTTGTTATTGTTGATTGATTCCAACAATCATCATTATCTTTAACTTCATTTTTAATTGTTTGTTTTTGTTGTCGTTTACGTTTAACACCATTACAACCATTATTTAATGATGATTGTTCATTAGCATTATTATTATTATTATTGGTCATTGGATAGACAATAATTGGATATGTTGATGATGATGATGTGGATTGTTGTTGTTGTTGTTTATTTCGTTTACCATTAATTTTTGTTGAAGATTTTGTTGATTTATTCATTTTTGTACGTCCATTTTTACGTTGTTGATTATTTTTATCTATTTTTAATGATAATGATTTGGATTGTTTATCAGTTGTTGATTTTATTAGAATTTTTCTATCTTTATGTTTTGTATGGTTATTATTGTGGAAATCTTCATTACCACCACCACCACCACTACAATTATCATCATCATCGTCATCATCAACAGCATTTGCATCAATATCATCATCATCATCATCTTCTTCTTCTTCGTCATCATCGTAATCGTCATCAAAATCATCATCATCATCTTCTTCTGAATCTTCTTCAGTTGTTGTCCATGGAGATTGATGTAATAATTTTTCATTATTATCATTATCATCATTTAATAGATCATCCATAAAATACATTTTTGGATCAGATGAACTATCAATAAGAAAACTTGTTGCAGGTAACATTGTTTGTTGATTTTGATGATGATTATGATTATGATGAAGATTCATTTGTTGTAATGATGAATTTAATAAATTATTATTATTTGTTGTTTGATTTAATTGATCATCAAGCATTAAATGATTATTACCACCACCGATGCCATCATCATCGATAGTTTGATTATTATTCATCATCATCATTGTTGAATGTAATTGTTCTTTATTACGAATCATCATCATTGAATGATTTTTATTCAATGATGATGATAATAATAAATTTTGATTAGTTAATTGATCATTCGGTATTAAACAAGATGTTGTTGTTGCTAACAATGATGCTGCTGATGATGATGATGATGATGATGATGTTATTGGTGATGTTGATGATGATATTGATGATGGAAATAATTCAACAGAATTTGTTCGTGGTGATGATGATGCCGATGATGTTGATGAATGAAATGATGATTCAGTAAAATCTGTTGATAATTTATGAAATTGTTGTTGATTTTTAATATTCATCATCATCAATAAATTTCCATTATTATCATTATTATTAATCATAAAAGAATCATATGAACATTGATTATTATTATTATTTTGTCGATAATGTATTTGATTCAGATTCTGTTGATTTAGATTATTTTTCAATGATTTATTCAATAAAATATTTGATAAACCATTATTTGATGATGAAGATGATGATATTGATGATGAAGAAGATGATGAAGACGATGATGATAATGATGATGTTGATGATGATGATGTTGTTTTGGTTGTTGAATTTGTTGTTTTTGTTGTTGTTGTTGTTGTGTTCGTAGTCGTAATTGTTGTATCTCCAGTCGTTGAGAATGGATAATAAAATTGTCCATTGAGCGATAATGAAATCATTGATAGATCATCATTTAAATAACAACAACGTGAATCAACAACATTATTATCAATCGATGTTGATGATGATGTTGATGATAAAAGTATATCCGATACATCCGATGGTGATGAAAACAATTGATGATCAGCTGTTTTTGTCGATGATGATGAGGATGATGATATTGATGTTGGTGGGGTTAAATTCGGATTAATCACTAAATTATCATGATGATTATGATGATGAACTGATGATTGTTGTTGCTGTTGTTGATGATGATGATATCCATTCGATAATTGATTAATTGTTTTAATTGATAAATTATCATTGGCAGTACCATTATTTTGTTGTTGTTGTATTGATGAATTTTTTGGCGATAATGATGGCGATGATAATGATGATGGTGATGATAATGATGGTGGTGGTAATAACAATGGTGGAGGTGAAAGTAACATTGGAATCATTGATTGATCATGATGATGATTATGATGATGATGATGATTGATACCCTGATGATTTGTTGAAATTAAATGTGGATCATTTGAATCATATTCTTCAAGTATTGTTTGAAATAATCCTTCAGTATCATCAAGATCAATACCATGAAATAGATCCATTGATGTTGCTGCTGATGTATTGTTCATTATTGTTGATGAATGTTTGGATATTTGTTCACAACAATTGGTTTGTTGTTGTTGTTGTTGTTGTGATGAAACAAGATTATTAAAATTACTATCATCATCGTCATCATTTTCATCATTTTCAAAATGATGATTATTATTCGTTCCAGCATTTAAAGATGACGTTGTCGTTGTTGTCATTACTACTGGCCAATCATCATTGACCCCAACAAGATCATCATCATTCAATGATGATAAATCTATTTCAAAATGAAATCAAAAAAAGAAAGAAAAAAATTCTCATTATTTCTTTGTTTAACAAATTGCAAAATTGTAAGGAAATTTAATTTTATCATCATCATCATCATCATCATTTCCTGATCTGGAACAACAAAATCAGAATATTCTTATCCACTACTTCTTTAAAAAAATTTTGTTTATTTCTTTTCACTTTCTTTTTCTTCTTTCATTATAAATTTTTTTTTCGAAGATTTTTTCAATTTCGGTTCCTAAGGCCCACACACACACACACACACATGATTGAAGTGAATATTTTTTTTATGACCATATGATGATGATTGTTGATGATTCTTTACAATCAATGTAGGATGTTTGACAGCAGCAACCAAAAACAACAACAAATGTATATGAATGATGCAAATGGCAAAATTATTGTTCAATTGAATCATCACTGGCAACAAAAAAAATTACTGTCCCAAGCAGAAAAAAATCCGATATACATGTATATATAGAAGAATGTACGAACAAAAAAAAACAGCAGAATCCAAATTGAATTCAATTCACACTTACACCCATTTGACGATAAGATGCAAAAAAAATGTGCAATAATAAAGTGGAATTTAGATGTTGGAAAGAAAAAAAAATGAAATGTAAAAAAGAAAATAAATCCCCAAGATTCAATATAAATATAATCTAATCTATCAAACGATGATGATGATGATGATGACGCCAACGTTTGTTGATTGATACACCAACACGTTTTTTTCCTACACGGATACGCAACAATATTGATGCTGCAATAATATTTTTCATTTTCTGGTACGGTAAATTCTGTAATTCATTTGTCGTTCACTTTTTTTTTGTTTCAGTTTTTTTTCCTTCATTCGGTATTCTGGAATAAACTGTGTATTCTATATGTGTAGGATGTCAATTTCTGTGCTTTTCAACATCAAATACAAAGGGATATTTGTTTCTACTGTTTTTGTTTGTTTGTTTGTTTGGTTAGTCGTGAAACAAAAATTATTTAAAATTTGGTTTTGTGTTTTATTCACAGACGAAAATAGACATGAATGATGATGACGTTCAAAACCAAATCCTAGAACTCAAAAACAATCTCAATCAATCGAAAAAAAAATCGAATCAAATTAATCACAATAGAGAATTGAAATTCAATTTAGAGATCAAAATTTGGAAATTCAATCCATTGATTATTCTGTTTTCAATGAAATAATCTTGTACAAAAAGAAACCATATTATCATCATCATCAACAGTCTCTGTATTGCGTGCGTGTAGGTATAACTCGGTTTTTTTCTCCATCATCATCATCATCATTATCATCATCAATTTGTTTCTAAATATAATTTTATATTTGTAACAAGAATTTATAGAATCAAAATCAAAATTAAAATCAAATTCTGTATCCAATTCCTTTATCAATTTATGTTGATGATATTTTGCATTGACAAATAATAAAAAAAAATTAGTTTGTTAGTCTGGGATTTTGTTTTTGTTTCAAACTAATCAATAATAAATTATCTGGTGTGATTATATAACTGGTTTTTACTATCATTCAGGTTTTTTTTCATTGACATTTTCAATTTTTAACGAAGAAGCAGAAAAAAAATGATTGATTGATCGATTGATGTATCTGTGTCTGTATCTGTATCCGTGTGTGTGTGTGTCACAAGATGACATAAGCAAAATACTTTATTATCACTTTTGTTTTCAATGATTTCATAGAAAAAAAAATGTAGACAAAATCGATACAACCTGATGATTTTTTTTTGTTTGTCAAACAAAAAAAAAGATTTATGCCATACACACCACACACATACAAATCACATTACCCAAGATTATCTTGTGTTTCCGAATTAAAAAAAAAGAACACATAAGGGATAAAGTAAAAATAAAAATAAAAATAAAGTTTCAATTTCATCACATACAAACACATTGGCAAAAAAAAGACATTAATCTAAACACACAGAGAATGAAATTATCCAAAACAATTTTGTTTATAAGTAAGTAGTGATCGATAGATTTATAAAAATCTTGGATTTGCTTTTGTGTGTATCGGATTAAAATTTGATAAATCATTCGTTTGTTTTTGGTAAATTCAAAAATGTTTGTAATTTTCCAATTTTTCACACTTGATTCTTATAAAAAAACACAGAATTATTTATAAATACAAATAACCGTGTGATGATCTTTCAATTAGAAACATGGAAACCAAAAAAAAAACACTATTTCAACAGTAAATACACATCTCATTAAAAATATAGACATAGACAATGATAATGATGATGATGACTGAAAGAAAACAAAACACGAGACTAAACAAGTAAGAATATATGGTGGATGGATGAAGAAAACATCAACAAAGATAGTCAAAATAAATGAAAAAAAATTTGTTTTTCTTCATCTATTTTTACAGTTACTGTGTAAATATATTTATACTAAAAATACTATCAATCTTTATTTATTTATATCACATAATATAAATACGTATTACGTGAATATAAGGAAGTAAACAAGAATTCAAAAAGGATGAATAAAATAGAGAAGGAAAAAAAAGAGTTAAATAAGACGATGAAATAATAATAACAATAACAACAACAAAATCTTAAGCAACTTTTTCTTTAAATATAATTAAGAATATAGAAAATTCATAGACAGAAAAATGCATTCGGGTAAACAAAATGAATTTACTCCTTTATTTTTTTTTGGTTGTTGGTCGTTGTTAAAATGAAAATGTCAAAATAAACGACTGAGACAGAAAGGCCGACAAATAAACAAATAGATCATCATCATTATCATCATGTTTGGTGTATATCATTTATTTACCCTTTTTTTTCATCCACAAAATGTGTTACTGTTTTTTTTTGTTGTTGTATATCGCATTTCTATGAATAACAAACCAACCAACCAACCAAATAGGCAAAATTAAAAGAAAAACAATAACAAAACTGAAGAACTAATGAGAAGAAGAAGAAGAAGAAAAAAATACAAATTCACCCGAATGAAAATGAACTGAAAAATTTCCAACCATTTTTTTTTGTATTCGATTAATAATTTACTTAATTTGGTCATTTATTTTTTATTCTACTTAGTGGTTGCTGTAGCTGCTTTTTTTTTCTTCTTCATTTTTTCCGGTTTCGCTGGGAAAAAAACCAATACCACAGATATTAGATAACACACACACACACCACACACAAGCATACATCATATATGTATGGTTTCTAATCATCATTTATAACATCAATATAGATGAATATATAGATCATTGAACGAAATAAAAAAAACCAAAAAAAACCAGAAAAAAAATTCATCATAATATGGCCCTAAAACAGGATAAACAACAACAACAACAACAAAACTTTGATCATAATCATGACCATTTTTTTTTTGTTTTATTCTAATCATAATCATCATCATTCATAAATAAAATGCCGATTAATATGATGATGATGATGATGATGACGATTATTATTAATATTAATTGATGATTGAATATTAATATTATTTTGAATAATAATAATAATAAATAAATATATATGTGATCAGGGTAGAAATAGTAACAACAACAACAACAACAAAAAAAAAGTAATGAAATGAGAATAGTACATTACGTATATGAATGAATGAATGAAATGTAGTGATGAAGAAATGTAACCAGAACAAAAAAAAGAAACAAAAAAAAGCGACCTAGAATATTTCCAGAACCAGAACCAAAAACATTTAAAACAACAACAACAACAACATGATTGGAAAAATATAAAAATAGAATGAATAAATGAATGAATGAATGAACAAACGTGTCAGATACACGAAAATATTATTAATATTTTCTTTTTTCTTTGACGTAATTTTCTCATCTTTATGGGAAAAAAGAATTTTCAATGTGTTTATTGATAATAATAATAATAATGATTTAAGAATTTTTCTTCTTCCTAAACATTTTCATAATCATCGACCCAATTTTTTTGAAGGAAAAAATTCATTCATTCAAATTGGATCAATTTTTTTTTGGATCTGAAAGATGTTTTGAAAAAAAGTGAAATTCTCAAAAAAGAAGAAACCAAAAAAAAGGTAAATCTAGCGGAATTGATCCTTAGAATCCTCATCGATCTATCCACCTACACACTACATATAGTAGTAGAATAATGTTTTTTGTTTTGTTTTTTTTTTAAATAAAAGAAAAAAAAAATATAGAATCGAAACACGCACAATGTTTTTTTTTCATTATAATGAAAATTTAATGAGAAAAAATTGATGATGATAATGATTTTGAAAGCAAAACAAACATGACATCATCATCGATTGAATAATGAGAAATGGACGGATATTGAAATTGATAATTATTTATTCCGGTTAACAACAAAAAAAAATATATAAAAAGAGAGAGAGAGGGAGAGAGAAATATTTTTTTGTTTTTGTTTTTAATATCAAAATATCTGATGTCCAACCGAGTGTTCAATCAATTTTCAATCATGAATCCCAAACACCCAAACCAAACCAAACCAAAAAAAAAACCCAGAATACAGGAATAAAGGATTAACACTTTATTTTTTTTGTGAGGGGATAGGGAAAGAAAATTTGTATACAGGAAACCATCAACAGCAACAGAGAGAGAGAGAGAGAGAGAGAGAGAGAGAGAGAGAGAGAGAT